TGGGGCGGCCATTAACCAGTGGCTCGCGCTAATTTTGGGAGGAATACGGTAGTTTTCTTTGGAAAAGTTCGATCGGTTGTTCGAAACGCGCTTTCGACTCGAATTTTATTTTATTTGATACTTGGTTAGGTTCTTTTATTTTATCTCATTTGCGAGAAGAAGAAAATCAATTTGTTAAGTCTTTTGAAGCTTTAGTCAGTTACCGGATACCGGTGACGTGTTTATAATTTTCTGAAACGTGGAATATGTTCGATTAGAAAAGAAGCTTCTGTTTTCGAGAAGCTTTTGTTAGAAAGTATGGAATATCGAAGAAGTCGAGTCACCGCGCTTCAAAAAACCATCAAGCATCCCCCCATCGCACGACACTTTCACCTCTTCACGTTTAAGGGAGATAGTTCTGAAGAGATAGATATTTCTTCCGAGAGATTTTATGTCTTTTATTACTGTTATTTTTGTTTCTTGACTGGTGTTCTTCGGGGAATGCTGATCGACACTTTATCGCCCTGCCCCCTTACCTCTCGTCCTAGTCTCTCATTAATCTGTTGTCACATCGTTCGTAATGTTAATGTAAATATTTGTTACTCGTTTATTTGTTTGTAATATTGTTTTATCTATTGTCTACAGCGGCACGAATGATCTATGTATAGTTACGTCGCGAGAAAGTTAATTAAATTGCGTGTGTACCTGAAACATCGCCACCTTTTTATTTCCTGTCTTACTTATTATTTATTACAACTATACAACGACCAAAACTTACAAACAGAAATTACAACAAACATCCAGAAACCACAACAGTATCTACAAAATCACATTACACATACATGCGTCTGCACATTTAATACCGTTCCAACGTTCTACGTTTTACTATCGTTTTTCGTTCCTCGACTGGAATTCGTCGGTGTTTTATGAATCCTTTTCCTAGATCTTCGACGATGATCGCGTTTATCCCTAGTATTCTCGTATTCTACATCATCCACCAAATATCTACCAGCGTCCGTTTTGGTTTCGAACTCCTCTTTAAACCCATCGTTCTCGATATCACCCTGTTCTTCGTGTTGATCATCGTGAAACTTGTGCATCTGACCAGATCGAACGTGTCCAGTTACCGTTTCTAAACCCTTTTTGTACCCCTCTTCGTAATTATAACTAAGAGACTCGGTATTTGGGGGTGTATCATTCACGTCCTCGTGAACCGCGTAAGTATCTTCGCCATGATCCTTCAAGTCGTTATCTTCCACGTAAGACGGCGGATGATAAGAGTCTTTGTGATGGTCGTACACAGGAAAATACTTTTGTCTGTCTCGTTTGTGATTCTTCGGCCATTTCTCGTTCAATTTCTCTTCGTGATCCTCGTGATGGTTCTCGTGGTCAAGTTCCTCCTCGTGCTCGTCCTTCAAATCGTGATGACGCCCGTACTTCCACGAACTCCAACTCGCGTGGTGAGTCCTGTGATTCTTGTGAGTTTTCGGCTTCTTCGGCGTTGGCACGTGAACATGGAAGAGAACGGTCCTCGTGTGCGTGTGGTGGTTGATCAGATCTGGCACGAGAATCTTCAGGTGTACACTGCAAATAAGCGAAAGGGAATGAGCGCGACTGCTGTGAAAACGAGAGTGCAAGCCTCGTGAACAGACGCTCGTTTTCGTCAGAGAAAGCGGGGTACGCTGACGGTGCGACTGTTCGATCTCGAACATTCAACGATCTTAATAAATCTTTTGCTGCAGTTTTCATAGTTACTTACTGCTTGGAGGATACTCCGTAGATCGCGATTTGGTTTAGTAGAAGAAGGCATAGGTATTTGAAGATCTGCTGGAGAAAGAAGAAACGGCTAATAATGTTAATAAGACGTAAAAATTGCAGTCCTGTTATGTGAATTATGTAAATCTTCTTTTGTGGAATAAAGAATATTTAAAACATAGGATATTTGGAATATAGAATATAGAATATATATTTGAAAAATAGAATATAGAACAAAATTAATGACAGTATTCGACACGGTGACGCGTTATTCGAAAGAAGCAATTACAGAACTATAAAATTCGGCGGCAATTTTATCAAAAATTTTCAAAATTCTAACACCAAATATTTGCACAGCGTTCTATATACAACACCACTGTAATCACTAATTCTTTCATTACCATGGTTTCTATCAAAGAGGATAAACGTCGAACGTCAGGATCAACGTTTCAACATCGTTTGACGTCGTAGAGAATGCTCCTCTTTTATATCCCACCCTCTATCGTAACGAGTACAGTGGAACCGCAAAATTGTCATCGAAATTTCACGGACCATCGAGCACTTTCGCCGTCTAGTTGAGATATGCTCCGTCTGCCAATCCGCTTCGAATGACACTCCCTAGAAAAACGTGACCGTGGAAGTTCATTGCCGCGCCGGTAATCCGTTGTTGCTTAAGAAACGCGGTCACTGATGCCTGTGATTGCACCGCGGTCGCTTCTTTATCTTTTTCCTTATTTATTAGTTATTTATTACAGATATACATTAATGAAAGAAATAGCGAAGAAATATGTTTTTGGAAATAAACTTCTTTATTGATTCCTCATAAATTCTTTATCCTATTATGAATTCTTCAACATCTTTCCTTTGTTGACATAAAAAGTGACCTTATCTTCTTCGAATATTTAGTTTCTAATTCTTTGTATATTTTCTCTTATTGTGTACAAAGAAATTTGCGAGGTTTTAACGTGGAAATTTACAAAATTTGTTCCCAGCTTAACTTCGTATTTAAATAAACTCGTTACACATAGAATACTGTTTGAACATGACTTGTAGGCTCTATTAACTACTCGTTGGGTTGTAATTTACATCTATTTGTATTATATTATATATTATATTATCCGCTTATTTCTAATAATGTTTATCGTCTTCTTCTATATCCTCCTTCGTATCTTCGTGATAATGCGGCACGACTTTGTAGATCGTATGCGTGTGCTTTATGTTCTTTATTCGATAGGGGATATGGATGATCACCTTTTTCCTATTACACGAAAACATAGAACAATTACTATGCGTCCTGTCGATATAACTGCACTTAATAAAATAATATTAATTCAAATACTCACGGCTCAGCTGGTTGTTGCAGCGACACCAACAAAACCAGTAAAGCAACGGCATACTAAAACAAAAGGATGCAAATTTTACAAATGAAATCCTTCGCGAATCGAAACTTAACCCGAAGCATTCAGCGGTGAAATTAATTAATTTCATTTTTTACAAATTTCCCAAAGTTTACAAGCGATCAGTGTTTATCTTCTTCGAAACTAAATGATTGAACTTGATAGAGTTAATCGGTGTAACTTGTGGCTCAGTTCCTTTAAAAAAATGAAACAACGAAAACAAAATGATGTCTTTCCGTACCAAAAGCTTTGCTCTCATTCTGAGAAAACTCGTCACTTTATACCGCTCGCTTCGAAGACGCTTTGAGAAGCAAACACTTTCTGCTCGTGATCGTAACAAATCTAACGTTTATATACATGCAGCTGAAATTAGCGAGGCGAATCAGTCGAAGCATAAAATGTAGCGAGAAACTCCGCCCAACGTGCAGGGATCCCAGCCATCGTCTTCTAACGTCTATCTTTTCATTTCTTTGCTTTTCACTAAACAAGACATCGCTGTTTACACTTGTTATCATGCGAGCCAGCCATGTAACTGGTTGCTATTCCAAAGAATCAACAGGTCTGCGTTTGGCACGCGATACGCATCACGGTGTTTGGAATTCTTGTAATTATGTTGAACGAGCTATGATCGCTGCAATTTCTTACTAAAATTAATTTTAATTACAGACTTTATTCGTGTTGTTTTGTCAGAAAACCTGTTGCACGCACTTTGTAATTGAAACGATTAGATTAGAATTTGACTGAATTTAAGAAAGATTTCTTAATTGTATATTAGAGGATGAGAAGATGTGGATTAGGAGAAACTTATCTGTATGACAAACTACAGTATATTATCTTCAACGAAGTGTAATTTAATTAAAAAAGTTACAGATAAAAGCAATTATAATAATTTTCTTTTTTACTAGAAAATATTACAGTGCAATAAAGTCGTTCTTTTCTAGAAACTAATAGGCAACAACTATATTACCATTTGAATCTTATTAGCTTCTCTATTCAAATATCGAATCACTGAAGAATCACACGTCACGAAACGCGGCAATAATTGCTTCCAAGAAACCAAATAACTACTCGTCTCCAAGCAAAAAAACCTCTGCGGGTGATCAGAGAGTTTCTAACCGCTCAGAAGTGATGGAAGAACTGACCGCATCTAGGAAACAGCGGAATCTACCGCACTTCCTCCGGCCGCACCCAACCGAGAATCAACTGTTCGACTCGTACTGCACGCACGTCCAGTTAACTAGCAGAGATCGTTAATAAGAATGGAGAGGAAACACGTAAGAACATACATATAATGTTGTTAATTGTAATTATCTCGAGCCTGAATAACTGTTATATTTTTATAGCATTTTTATTACGTTCTCAAACGAACCGTCATTTCGTGATTCTAACGCTTCGAAATTTCTCCATTAACTGAGAGGAATTTGATTGCGTCCAAAATATTTGAAAATAGATGAACGATGTAGATAAATGGACACGGTAAACTGAAAATATACATAAAGGAAGGAAAATGTAGACATTACAGGCTTGACGTGAATGGAGAAACGCGCGAGAACGGCGCGTCATCGCATTAATTATGTATACGAGCTAAACGATTAATGTACTTAATCGAATGTTTCTCGCGATAATTTTGCGTAAGCACATTAATCTTATCTCGTTTTGGACTTTGCTTTCGAACGTAACGAGTCACGACATAGACGTAGCGTCTATCACAATGTGTATCGCGTGCCGATGTAGCGATTAGGTGTCTTAGGTAATTAATGCACTACTTTCGTTTTTCTAGCTTCTCGCGAGCAAAGATTATTACGATGTATCGAAGATATATTTGTATAAAATAATCGAGGATCAACGTACGAAGAAAGTGATTTTAAGTAATCTATAATAGCGATTCATCGTTCCAGCATGACCATGAATTAGGCAAAAACAGTCTCGCTTTCGAACAGGTCACGCATAAATTATTTGAATTGAATGCAACCGTGGCTACACCGTGAAAGAATACGCTATTAAGACTGTTGGAAAAGCTTTTCAACTCGTTCAATTAATTTACATGTGCAGCTCGCCAATTAAAAGTGAAAATTGTTCGTAAGATGGAAAGTGAAAGAAACAAAACAGAATATTTACTTTTATGTTGCGTGTAATTGTTCGTGAAATAATCAACGCAACGATGGAAATTAAGATAAGAACTACGGGATAAGGGATAACGCGTGAAACACGTGTGAATTATTACAATTTTTGTACGATTTTATAGCCTCGAAAATCTCTTAGAACGATCGTTTCTTTTGGTTTGAGGATGGTTTGAATTTTCCTACGTTTTCCTATTTATAAGTTCTACTCGCTAAACGGATGTACTGTTTAAAATAATCAGAGCACGTTAATTTATCACGTTCAATATTTCAGGAATTTCACGTTCCAAATAAATCGGAGCAAGCAACAAAAATCTTATAATTCAACCTTAATATCTATCCTGTGCTGTATATTTATGAAAAAAAGACGATTTGCCAATTATCTAAAACAGTGCAGCAGTTTCTTAAGACTAACGAGTTTCAATAAATACAAAACGATATGAAAAATTAGTTATTCGATAACATTTTAATCAAACAAAAATATATTCATTCGAGTTACACTTGAGTATCATAAATTAGCCTAGTATACTTGACCAAAGGAAGCATAACAAATGTACATATGTAAATTGAAAATAATAAAATATCTGCTTTTTCTTCCTTCCTCGACAACGCAATCACAGTTGAGATAATATAGTATAAAATAGACAAATTGAAAAAAAAAGCGGTAAAGATCAATTAGAAACGATCACGATATGCTTAAACTCAGATTTTCCACATCTTCTCCAGAACGGTTAAATCCTGAGCAACTGCAACGACTTCAAATTGTCCATCGATCCGCTTCTCGACGCGGATTTCACGCTGCTCGCTGAATTATTTATCTTCTACCCGTTTTCATGTTGTTCATCGGAACCAGACTTCGCATTCTTATTTTTATTATTCTTATATCTCTTTATTCTTGCGAGCAACACTTCGGCTTCGTCGACTTCTTCGCGGTCTTGGCCGTGGCCGTGTATTTAAATAATTCATCCTATCGTCGTTTAAGTTCCGAATCGTCTCTAAAAACGCGTCACCATTACCGACGCTTCTCTTTTGCAATCCTCCGTGATTTGCTTTACTCGTCGATGATTCAATCGTTTCGCTCGGTCGTACGTTTATTCCCTTGCGAACCTTCCAATGAGGATCGACGGATCTGGGTACTTTTGAGTGAACAGGGCTCAGCTCCATTGGCTTGAAACCTTCATCGTTGCTATTCTTAATGGCGGGCTCCACGCTTCCGTCCAGATTAAGATACCTCATGTTCTTACTTGCAAACTCGATGCTATATTTCGGACCATCTTCGGTAGATCCTTTAGAATTATTCTTCGATTGACGTTCTTGATTGATCGAAGTTGGAATTCGCGGACTCGTGAAAGTTTCGACATTTGGAAACCTGTCGTACGAAGTGGTTGGATTACTATAAGTTGCGTGCTCCGAGACTGAAACGTTTATCGGAGTCTGCAATTGCTGGAAATCGATGGTCAGCAGTTTCGAATGTTCGTTATTAGATTCGTTTAGCGATGGATAGTATGGGTACACGTGATCGACCGAACCTTGGAAACCAGTTGCTCGCTGACTACCTTGCGTCTTATTTGCTTGATCAGGTAGCTTGAAAGGAGAAACAGAATTCACATGATTGTTCCTCGACGGTGAAACCAAAGATGGGTGTCTTTTATGATGTCCGAGTTTCTGGACACCGTGTACGTTCCCATGTTTGAAATTCAGTTTATACGTCCTAAAGTTGCGATTCCCTGTAGTGTAACCATTCGTGCGTCCGATGTTTTGAACGTGAGCGTTCGATGGTTTTGAAACTTGAACAACGTTGTCGCTAGAAGACAACAGACTATCCGAAGAAATCGAATGAACGTCACTATGATGATGCTCATACGAGCCGATCAATCCTTCCTTAGACAGGGGAAGTGATTCGTGGCTGATTATCGAGACCTCAGGGTGTTCTATTATTTCAGTGGGTGGAAGAATATTTTTATCAAACGTCGACTCGATTTCTGTAGCCGGTAAATGGGTTATCAATCGTATCATCAGATGATTGGAATTTAATGGTTCCAGAAGTCGTATGTACACCTTATCACCTATTCCTGGGAAATTGAACGGTCCAACGAGGGGACCCAATGGTTTTGGAGGATCGACTATCTTTTTAACTATATCCACGATCGAATCCAATATGTTTCTATTCTTCGTCACCCTGTATACGGGCTCGATGCGAACTGCTCCTTCGTCGAAAGCTTCCGCAGGTCCTTGCACAGTTTCTATTTGCTGGTTTTCGATATAGTTCTCCTTGACGTCGTACGATCGTCCCGTATGAACGCCGGATTTTGCGCCAGAATGTTGAAGCTGCCTTCTACGTCGATTTGCTTTGTATCGATTTACACCACGTGATCGCGATGGCTTCGAACGATCTGTGCGAACTGTCAGGGTCTTCTTCTTTGCACCTAGGGGAATATTTGTATGCAACGTTTGTTGGTTGCGGGTCTGGGTTGGTTCTGGTCTTGGAGCTTCTGGTCGAGAGGTAGTGAATATTTCGTTGGTGTTGGTGCCATTTTGGTATTTGGACTGCGGCAAATGATCCTTTGGTTGCGATCGCCTAAATTTCAAATAAAATTTTCTACGTTATTATCTTTTTCATTTGTTTTGATACCTACCTACAGGGTGGTTGGTAACTGGTGGTACAAGGGGGTGATTCTACGCAAAAAAGAAAGTCAAAAATATAGAATACAAATTTTTCGTTCGAGGCTTTGTTTTCCAGAAAATCGACTTTGAATTTTCGCTCGGTACGCGTGCACTTTGTCGCGTCTCGTTATAACGGATCTCACTGTAGATCGTTGTCTCGATGGAAAAATTAAAAAAAAAAGAAAAAATTAAAAAATTTTTTTATTCTATATTTTCGACTTCTTTTTTCGCATAGAATCACCCCCTTTCCGCTTGTACCATCAGTTACCAACCACCCTGTATATGATACAATTCTTAGAGAATACGTACCTTTTGGAACGCACGGCTTCTGCATCGAGGAACATCGATATCAATACGACGCAGATCTGCAATCATGGAAATAAAATAAAAAACCCGTCAACTTTATACTTCTAGTCATTAATCATTTCTTTTCTTCATATTTTCTTCATAAGACGATATTGATAAAACGAGTTTGCATTTTTAAGTAGTACACTCTATCATATCACAACCACATCACGAATATCGTTAGACGAATTCAAAGTAAATCTCAATGATATTACAGATCATTTTTGTCCAAGTTAAAAAACATTCTTTCACTTTCTATTATCTTCCACTAATTTTTCATTGATCGTATTTTTATTGATTCCTTTTGAAAAAATCGAAATAATCGCAGCGCCGTCATCTTCATGTTGTACATAGCGCGCATCGATCCACTCACCGTAATCACACGTGCGATCTTCATGTCGTTGATGGTATACCACGTCCCACTAGATCACTTCACCGATCCTAGTATGGGGACGTCTGTCCATCGGCAACGTCTTTTAAAGCCTCCCCGGACCCGCTTGTACGCCAGCGCTAAACTGGATCTGACAACATTGTTTTGCGTATGTACGTGGTATTAAAGCCAGTGATTTTCTCTTGAATGAAAGAAAAACAACGAGAAAAAAATACAAGTGTACAACAAATCCTACCTGTTTCGTGCCGACTCACCAGGAATTGGTGCGCATCACACGCTACCACTTTGCAACCATAAGACACGCGCGATGATAATTAATAAATTTTTCGAACCACGAAGCGTTTACGAAATTTAGATTTGGTTACTTTTAAACCTGTGTGTCTTATTAAATAGGGAAAGATCTCCGTTTCCGTGAAAAATAAAGTGGCAAAATGAGGATTTGCTTATGAAGAAAAGAAAAATGCAAATTAAAAGAAAGATCTCTGCCTCATAAAGAACAAGGTCGTCAGGAATGCTAAGGATAAAAAATTGTTTTGAAATCGCCTTGTAATTTCTGTGAGAAAAATATCGAACGTACTATTTTACAATTACAACGAAAAAATAAATTGACGAAAGAATCCCTGTTTCACAAAAGGTAAGGTAGTACGAAATCGCGAACAGTAGTTTCGCGAAAGAACCGTGAGCAGACGCACTATAGTTAACGACGATAATAAATTGGTTTTCTTTTTCATTTATATATATAAAGCGACGGTGTGCTCATAAATTATAAATTATTTCATTGCATTCTCTCAAATTCCACCACTAAACAGAGTATTTCAATGAAAGTGAATTTCCCTGTGTAAGATGTTTTCAATTGGACGAACGAACGTAAGCGCGTATTTCTATTTAAGTAACGTATTATTCGTTTGTTATTTAGAAATGGTAATGATAAAAAGCCAAACTTTCAAGTACTCGCTCACGCATCCCGAGATACCTGTTTCAAACGACGATTGATAGAAATGAAAGCGGCAGCATACCTGTCCTAAGAAAATAGTAAACAAATACCCGTATCGCAATACCATAACCATAACGAATGGTGAATCGAACAGAGAAGGATAAAAACAAATAGTTAATTACTTGTTAAGAAGGTTTATTAGAGGTACGCCGACGTGTAGATAATTGCTCGACAGATAGTAAAAACTGGTATAATAAGGAATTGTTGAAAATGAATGTGGATCGCGTCCGAGAATTTCTTGTTTTTAATAAAACAAAAAAAAAAAAGGTCCTCTGGAAAATGTCCCGCAGAACGTCTCGATGACAGGGAAAACTGGAAAATTGCGAAGTACATAATTGAATTTAATGCAATGTACAGAGGTTTTGTTTTTTTATTTCCAATTAAATCGTGCGCTCTACATTTCAGTAAATTGTCGTAGATCACGGAATTTGATACATATTGTCGTTTCTCTACATGATATAATTGAAGAGTAATTTATTTTCAATTATCGAAAGTATAGCTGTAATTCCAAGAATTTGAGTTCGAAGTTGGTGATGTTTCTTATGCACACAGATAGTTTATCGTTAAACTTTTCCCAATTAGTCGTAAAAGTACACATAGCCATACTCCGAAACAACTTACGCTTTTTTCACTGTTTCGACAATGTAGTAATATATACCTGAAGAAAAAAAGAAAAAAAGGAGGGAGAGATCTAATCGACAAACTTGGTCGCTGCAGTTGAATAAATAGCATCTCTCTAATGCATAATACAACTAGATGATAATAGAGAGATAATAGAGTCATATCACGGAACGCTGTGTGTGGCATTATATTCAATTACAAATCTCGATAGATTAATTTAATTGTAATTGAAACGGCGCTTTCCATCGAAACGAAAACCGTACGCAGCGCTGTTCGGTGCGCTGACTAGGGCGGGATTCTTGTACTGATGAAACGAGCCATGTAAATGCGGAGGCCTTACGGCGTTCTGTTCTTCCTCCTGCGACCCTTTCAAGTAGAATGCCTCGAATTGTCCTTCCGGTAACAGAATATCCTTCAGCGATTTGTCGTTCGGATCGTAAGCCATCCCATTTAACGCCAAAGAAATTAGAAGAGAAAAACACTGGAATCATAAATAGACGAGACTTTGTAGTATATGTAAGTAACAATTACATAAAATTCGATAACTCAACAAACACTTATTCGTATAATTTTACCTCGTTAAAATAAGCGATTGGAAATAATAAGATAAATTGTTAAAATGTCTTGATATAGTGGAAGTAAAGGTACGTACCGTAAACAAGGTAAGAAGGTTTGCCGCCATACTTCGATCTGTATTCCACGTCGATCAAAGCGCTGAAATGACGAAGAATGTTCTAAGTATAAAGTGAAAACTATGTCGCTATAAAAGATACGAAAGCTCTAAATCATATAATTAAAGTTATTTGAAATAATTGTTAATGACACGGCCGCGATACGAAGCAACCAATTGAGTCATATTTTAATGTCCTAGAAATTTATTTATTTATTTATTTGGTACTTGAATCAACGGGAGACATTCCCTCGAGACAATATATTCTGTTCTATTCTTGATCGATCGAAAGATTTACATAGATCAAAGTATACAATTAATTTGTTCCAGGTGGATAACACAGATACTACATCGATGAGAAGATTACACGACTTCTATCGAATTAACATACGTAACCGTATATTTTATATCTAAACGCTATTGTTTTCTGATTGTTCGCGATGGTACGTGTTTTCTACTTATCTTTCCTTCGATCAGTGTACGTAATCGATAAAAAACCAACCAATTGTGATCTGCGCGCTCATTCGTCGTTTATTTCACGAACACGCAACAGGTTTGTGTTCTTTCTCATTACATTTGTCCGTTTTCTTTTATTATACACACGATTAAAAAGAGTTTATAGTGCATCCTTAATAACTGAAAGTAAAGATGTATTTAACTTACTTATTGAACTCTTCTATTTCGACGTTTACAAAATCGCGATACAGGAAGTTATCAAAGGGATAAAAATATTCATAATTAATTTAATTAGAGTTTAATTAACTTTAACGCGTCATTAATTCAACTAAACTAAGCGTAAGTAATTGCAAAATCTACTTTCACTTTTCTGTGAGTCAGTAACGATTGAAACTGCTCGCGAGGAAAGAAAAGGATGAAACAGCAACGTAAATTCAATATAGAATTTAAGTCGAGATATTAAGTCTACTGTAAGAAGTTCTCTATCATAAAAAGATTGCTAAACTACGAGTTTTCATAGTTGAAACTTACCGAACGTGGTCGTAGCAAAAGTGAAAGCCGCTCTGCAGACAACAGTTTAGAGAGACGTTTCCTCTACCTGCACACATTTAACGACCTTGCCACTGCCAAGCGTCCCCACCCTGAAGACCAAGAGCAACCTCGAGGCCTGCAGAAACGGAAGCCGACAGAATTGGAAAACGTGCAATCCTGGATTTCGCCACTGGCGTTGAACGTAGGTTTTGTAAATAAAAAAAAAGTTTGTGCTGAAAAAAAATAATAGATAACGAACAAGAAACTGCATGATTTATGTAAAGACAAATAAGAACAGTATTGGTAGACGTAAGAAATTGTATTTGTACAAACTGTACAAAAAAATCAGGTATCGTCGTAGAAATACAGTATAGAAGAATAAGAAAATGTAATTAAACTATAATATGCTTATAATCGAAAGAAATAAGATTTATCTTATAGAAACTTTTCTTTTTCATTACATATCATATCATATAAATTATTCGCAAATGTAAGTAGTACGTTATTATCACAATGTGCAATATATATTCCTTAAAACAGTGCGAAACGTCGATCCATTAACTCTTCGAATCACTTAAAACTCATGATATGATAAACTTAATGTCATGTTCCGCATATTACTTATCACATATAATACACAATCGCACATAGTTTTATATATATTAACTTTCACAGTATAAATTATGCTGGTACGATAAACAAGTCCCAGTATTACACGTAGATATTGATGGATAAAAAGTAACTTAGCGCTGTCGCTATTACGGTCAATAATAAAATGTTTTAATACAAGAAGCTTTACAAGAAGCATACCTTATCATATGCTTACATGTTTACAAATTTTAATTATAATATATATGTTGGATGTTCGTTTTGTTTAAGTATCTCTCACAAATCGTCGCAATAAAATAAGAATGTTAAATAACAGTACAAGATTATAAACATTCTCTTTGCTGATACATGAATTCATGATGCATCACAATTATTTTACATTTACAAATATTAAATATCCCTGGGATGCATGTTACACGGAATATAAATAAGAATCTTGCTTTGTCTTTCCTTTTGGAGGAGAAGTAAAGGGTGAGAACCAAGCAATCGAAAATCTTCCAAAGACAGCTTGAATGGATTTCCATCTACTATTACGAACCCACCTGGCTTCTTCTTTTTTAAGTTGCTCAATACCCTATAAAAATGATATAAATAAGTAATCAATTTGAAATTACAATTAATTTTTTATTTAATTATCGTGTACATACAGTTTCATCGTTCCAAATTGCTTGTAATTGTGTCCCTAACATTACAGCCGTGAAAATGGCAAATAAGAGGGCTTCGAATGCCAAGCAAAGTAATAGTACCACTGTTGCAGGTGGATTAAATGTAGAACATTCTTTCCATTCTTGTCTTATGCATGTAGTAAATTGTTGTATACATAGCAATAAAGAATGCAATGACATTGCTGCTATATAGAACTAAAATAAATTACATAATATAGATGCTGCTTCGTGTCATCACTTTGCATATTTGTATAGCAAGACTTACAGTAAAAAGTACAAAATATTTTTGATTATTTTCCCCAACACAATTATTAACCCATGGACAATGATGATCCATTTTTCTAATACATCTATAAATAAAATATTTAAAATATCTGTAATTTTTCTATGTATTCATAACTAAGATATTACAAATGTTATAAATTTACCTTTGGCACACAGAACAATGATGTGCTCTATCAGGCTTAATACAACAACATTTAGGACACTTAAATATGACTTGTCCATCCCTAAATCCCATTTGTTCAATCATTTCCTTGG